TTTATTTTAACTTTTTGCAATAACCTTTTAAAATTAGTAATTTGATAATAAAAGCTCAAATAGAGTCCAAGTTATTCTAGATTAGTTCTATCCTAAATCTTATTCGGAATTTGTTAAATATTGTTTTATTTAAACTTCATGACAGTAAACAGTTCAAAACAATTAGGTATGCCTCTCTGTTTCATTTTCCCCTTTCTTAGAATTTTTTTTTTCTTTTATTCAACAGGTTGCTTTCATACAGACTTTTTTTATATATCAATACAGGTTTATGTTCAATGCAGGCACTCTCAATGGATATGGAGTACCTGTGCATAGTGCCAAAAAATATTACCAGTGATTACAGTGAGATTCATTATGAAAAAAAATGAAGTATCCAGGGAATCAAGGGTCCATTTTTTCATCTGGAATTTCGTACTCGTTGAAATAAAAAGTTTCGAAATGACTAACTGGGTTATGAAAATTGAATAACAAAATCGGAGGTGATTTTGCCCTAAAGTTCCATCAACAGAAACCCATCATCTCACAACCATTGAAAGTTCAGCTTGAAAACAGGCAATCTTCGACTCTGTTATGCCTCTAATTTGGATTCTGGAGCTCTATTTGGTGTAGTTTCGGATCTAATTTTTTTAAAAGAATAGTATCACGCCTTTAATAGATAGAATTTAAGAAAACGTGGAAGCATATGTATGCTAAACCTCACGCTTCCTGTTCTGTTGCGAACTTGCGGTCTGCAAAGCAATATTGCCAATTAAGAGAATTTATTTTATTTATTTTTCTTTACATTTTACTCTGTATAATCATATTTCTCAGATCATAAAAATAAAATAGACAACGAAAAATATTCATCATACAAATTTTCTGACATAGAAAAATAAGAGTAAAAAATTAAAATGCAAATATTAAAATTATAGTGTAAATATTCATCTATTACTTGAGAAGTTTTAACTTATACTGTATTTTTGGAAGAAATTTTAGATACCAATTTAGGACTAAGCGGGCAGATAAAAATGCATTTTTCAACGTGACTACTCTTACATTTTTTTTTGATAATTTTTATTTTACACAAATAATGCGGGAAAAAATTTTATAACCCGCACAAGCCAATAGTATATAAAGAAAGAGTAAGAGAGATAAAGATGAGAAAAGAAGAAAAGAATCACTCTACATTTTAAAATATTATTTTCAACAATAAATCACATTTAATGCTGTTATGATATACGTTATCTTTGCCATATTTTATTATTATTTTAGAATTTAAATTTGTTTCAGTTACCTCTTGAAACAAAAATGTCATTTATGATAAGATAAAAATCATTCCATTTTTCCCCCTATATTTTCAAAATATATATTGAACGTAAATTTTGAATTTCGAACTCAATTAATCCCATTTATATTTGTATATGTGGGAACTAGTATTAGATATTATCAGTTTCAAATTTAAATTAATTTCACATATATTTTTTCCAAAATTACTTACCGGGATTAATCAAGATATCCGATTAGCATTATCTCTTGCCTTACCAATTTTATCACCATTAAGTTCACATTTAATCATGTTACTATATTATACATCTTTTTCATATTTTGTTTTATTTCAATTTTAAATTTAAATGGATTATACAAACATATTTTTTAAAAAAATTACTTATCAGGATTAACCAAGTAAAAAAACTCATTTCATAGTGATCTTCTTTCACCAAAAAAAAAAGGAACATTCATCGTCGTCAACAACACCCTTTAACCCTTTTGTCCTCTTAGCACAACACCGTTCACCTCTTCACAAATATCATCATCTACATCATCACCGCCGCCCAACTTCACGTGACCATCTTTCCATGCTAAAAAACCCCATGCCTCAAAGCCTTCTCCATCATCACCGCCCTACACCCCATATCCACATCACCTCTCACTATGCCGGAAATGGAATAATCTTATTCCAGTAGAACAAATTCCGGCGAGTGGTTATCTGTAGCATCATCGGTATTCTTTTTGGGAATATCAGTTTTTGCCAATTGTTTGAGCAAAAATTGTACTCGGATTGTGGAAAGGAGACAGAACATAACCCAAGTACAAAAATAAATCAGAGCGAGTGTGGATGAGTTCAAAAACCGGCCTCGGATCTAGAATCCAGAGCTTATGGTTCACTTTGGTTTGTAAATAAAGAGAAAAAAAGAATAAAAATGAGAGGGGAAACGAGCCTAATGGCTTCAATTCTTAATAGTGGAAAAAAAAATCCTAGTGCCAGCAAAATATAGGTGGTGCTGATGACGCGCTATTACATGGAAGGTAAAAGATATTAGCATCGACTAGACGTAACCGATGACACGTTATGACACAGAAGACAGAGATATTAGCCCCGACAGGAAATGCCTATCAATGTAACGCTATTACAGAGAGAGACCGAATTCACTGAAGTAGAATTCATGAACTACTACCTATTTCTATGAAGGAGAATAGGCAAACACCTATCTATGCTAGGCTACATCTAGGAAAAAACGATAAAGACATGAAGTAAAAGACTAAAAAAGAAAGAAAAATAAAAGACTTGATGATTTGATGATTTGAGGTGTCTTTTGATGATGATGCTCTCGGCTGCCTTTTATAGAGAAAGTTAGAGCCGGCTTCTTTGGAGGAAAGGAAGTAGTATCCACGTCTAATGCTTCCTAATTCTTTGGAGAAAAAATAATGTCCTCATGTGATAAACTTGAATGGCTAAACTCCACTTAAAGTAGAAAAGTAATAACTAATCAAATAACCACGTGAGAAGCATTATCAATCCAACTCAAATTCCAAATCCTTTGATTAGCTCGGCCAACATCAATCAAATATAGACTCCAAATTAATCCTCCTCGGTTGACGGCCAAACAACCAGTAAAAAGACCAAATTTTATATGTGGGGTCAAACTAAGCCCCCCAAACGCTCATATGGAATGAAATGAGATGTGAGCGTTGATAAGCACATTGAGACATGGTCTACTGCAACACCTGCAACACTTGCTACTGCTGCGCCGATGTTGTTGCTGCAACTCTTGATGAAACTTTGCCGACAAACCTTGACATTGTTGCGTCGACGATTCTGCTCGCTGATGTTGCGCCGATAGCAATTGTTGTTGCTGCACCGGTGTCTCCTTTGCCATACCTCGACCATCAAATTGCCTGGTGTGATAATGATATGTGATTACTTGACTACCAACAATGGCCAGCCCCCCGAAACTAGAGGGATCTTGTGCCATAAAGGCCTTACTCCATCTATCGACGCAACTGGATCGCTGCTTGGCGCCAAACAGATCATAGAGTTGAGAAAAGCGGCCGTCATAGGTAGCCTGCCCTCCAATAGTGTTTTCAGCCCTGGGAAGAATTATGTCATATATGAACTACGGGCTATTGAAAGATATATCCACCAAGTGGTGATGGATATAAGAAAGAAAAATAGAAGGTTTTTTTTTTTTTGTTTTAGGACGACAAAATCCCATGACCTAAAAACCAAACCAAAGCTCGTCCCACTGAGTGTGCCATTTTATGTTTGAGCAAAAATTGTACTCGGATCGTGGAATGGAGACAGAACATAACTCGAGTACAAAAATAAATCAAAGCGATTGTGGATGAGTTCAAAAACCGGCCTCGAACCTAGAATCGAGGGCTTATGGTTCACTTTGGTTTGTAAATAGAGAGAAAAAAGAATAAAAATGAGAGGGGAAACGAGCCTAATGGCTTCAAATCTTAATAGTGGAAAAAAAAACCCCAGCACCGGCAAACTATAGGTGGTGCCGATGACGTGCTATTACATGAAAGGAAAAAGATATTAGCGCCGACTAGACGTAGCCGATGACAAGCTATGACACAGAATACAGAGATTAGCGCCGACAGGGAATGCCTATTGATGTAACGCTATTACAGAGAGAAACCGAATTCACTGAAGTAGAATCCATGAACTACTACCTATTTCTATGAAGGAGAATAGGTAAACACCTATCTATGCTAGGCTACATCTAGGAAAAAATGATAAAAGACATGAAGTAAAAGACTAAAAAAGAAAAAAAATAAAATAAAAGACTTGATGATGTGATGATTGGAGGTGTCTTTTGATGATGATGCTCTCAGCTGCCTTTTATAGAGAAAGTTAGAGCCGGCTTCTTTGGAGGAAAGGAAGTAGTATCCACGTCCAATGATTCCTAATTCTTTAGAGAAAAAATAGTGTCCTCATGCGATAAACTTGGATGACTAAACTCCACTTAAAGTAAAAAACTAATAACTAATCGAATAACCACGTGAGAAGCTTTATCAATCCAACCCAAACTCCAACTCTTTTGATTAGCTCGGCCAACATCAATCCAATATAGACTCCAAATTAATCCTCCTCGGTTGACGGCCAAACAACCAGTAAAAAAACCAAATTTTACATTTGGGGTCAAACACCAATCGGAGTAATCCCGATTTGGTCCAGACCAAATAGTCGGACAGAATTTTACGGTAGCATCGTTGATGTTCTTCGGAAGATCAAAAGTCATGATCATCCTCGATTTTGGTTTTAATTATTAGATTAGGAGAAATTGTTAATAGGTAATACAAATTAAATTATAATTATAATATAAATTATAATTACAATTAATCTTTTTACTTTGACATGTGTACTATAAAAATTACTCCACTAATTAGAAAATCATATATAGACTAAACAAAAATTTTCAAATAATTAAAAACAATGACACGTGTAGACACGTGTCTTTTGAAAAAAATTTCTTAAAATTTGCCCATGCTTGCGCGTGTCACTGGATGGTATTGACGTAAATATTAATAATATTGGTAAATCCTTTATTGTTAGGCGTGTATATATACCTACGTGCTTTATATTATAATTGTTAATTAATATACTGGTACCTGATTTATTACCATTTTCACTCAACAGTAAGGAAGAATCGAAAAGAAAAACACAAACCAGCAGCCAATTTTTCTTCTTGTTTCCTCTTCTCACATCAAAATCTTCCTTTTCCGTCAAACGAATGGAACCGGTCTGCCCAATTGATGCCCGTTGCTCCCACCAAGTCGCAATTCTTCTCAGTCCTCCTTCCCCTGTTCAATCTCAGGTAATAACCATAGTCCCAACTTCTAATTTCTATCAACCAGTTTGCTCTTATTGTATTAAACTCTTTTTTGTCTATTGATCTTTTTAGTTTTTTGTACTTTTTATTCCTTTGGGATTACTGAAAACAGAAGTATTATGAGGAGCTTATAGCAAGCAGAGAATATAGCGGGCTTGAAGTGAGAATTAATGGAGAGCACGGAAAAGGTTGGCGTTTTTTACTAATTGTTTTGATGTTGTTGATTTCTCAGTACGCAGCTCATGCAAAGCTTTTTAAATTTCAGGAGTTTATTCAAATAAGGAATTCGATGAAGGGGACCTTGTTTTGAAGGACCCAATGCTTTTTGGTATTCAACATTCATCAAATAAGGTTCGGTGATTAAAAGGGACTTGCTGAACATCCTTCAATATTGTAATCCAGTGTATATATAACTTATTATGCAATTTCTGCTCAGCCATTGATATCTTTTTTGTCTTCCAATGTCTGTAACTTCTGCGACTTCTGAGTGTTTCTTTTCTACTGCTGCAGATGGACTGTCTAGTGTGTAGTTATTGTTTTCAATTTATAGGCTCAGTGGAACTTCAGATAGGGAGGAAACTTTACTTGAGGAATTTAGCTAACTTATCCCAAACGCACTCTGGAAAGCCAGAACCATGGAATGACCAATGTGAAGTATCACGTCATCAGGATACATCAGATGTTGGAGAAGATGATAGGGATCATTGTAGTTCAAGTAATGGCAAAAGCAGCTCTAATTATCTACCTCAAGATGTCATAGATTCAGTTATGAATGGTGGGTTGCAATTGCCGTACGCAAGCGCTTTCCAATTGCCTTCTGTTGTTTCATGCCCTGGTGGATGCAAGGAGTCGTATTATTGCAGGTGTATTTTGCATGCTTTACCTGTTATGTATTTTTTATTAAATGTTCATTTCCAGGTTCCCTTTTCTTGTTGCATCTGTTCTTCTGTTTGATGTTATTAAGATTATGTAGTGACTTCTATGGCTTATTTGAAGTGTGAAATTATGTCAATTTCTTCAAGTTATTATGTGTTAATATTCAAATCTATTTCAAAAATTGAGTTATGGAGACACTCTGAGAATAGTGGTCATCTCTAGGTTTCCATCATCTGATTTTAAAAATTTACAGGCACCGAGAACTTACACATACTTGAAAATTGAAAGCCCCTGAAATGCGTAGTCCCAGCAGAGTATAGATTAAAATAATTATGAATGGGAGGCGTGGGGTATTAGAACTCTACTAATGTGCTTCATATTCATAACTAAGTTGGTGGTAGCAAGACATAGGATTACCAGTCTTAATCTTGGTTACCGTGCAATGCTCAAGGATGGGAGAAAAGATAATACTTCTCTTTATATTCTTTCGGTTTTATAGAAATGTGCTTCAAACATTTACTTTCAGTTGTATCAAATGCAAATAAAGATATGGAACCTCAGGTGTTGCTTTGCTGATGACAATATTTTGCCGCTTCAAGCTCCTAACTAGACTGATCAATGAATATCTGATGATTGTTGTCCAGACATTTTAGTGTTTTACACAAATAAAAGTTTTTAAAGCATGTCACTTTTGAAAGAAGCAACAAGGTAACAGGTAGTGTGTAACTATAACTGTAAATCCCTCTATTTTGTTTTAAGAATATACATGTGGTAATTTATCGGGTAATTTGAACAATATGTACAACTTGCAGGTATATTTTACATGCCTGACTGTCTTTTATTAAATGTTCATTTCCAGGTTTTCTTTTCTCCTTGCGTTTGTTCTGCCGTTTGCATTGTTAATTGCAAAGATTAAGGAGTGACTGCCATGATTGTTTGAAGTGTGATTGCAATTATGTCAACTTTTTTAAGTTCTTAAGTTCAAACTTTTCAAAACTTCTGTTATGGAAAAACTATGAGAAATTTTACTAATCTATAGGTATCAGCCATCAGATTTTTAAAATTTGTAGGCACCAAGAAGTCATATATATCAAAAAGATTTAAAGCCCCTGAAATGCTTGTTCCCAGTGGGCCTTTACTAATGTGCTCCATATTTTAAGCTAATTGGAGGTTGTAAGACATACTTCTCCATATTGGTTTTGTCAGTTGGAGAAAGCATACTTATCTTCGTGTTCCTTCTGTTGGATACAAATTTACTCCGCATGTTTACTTTCAGTTAAGTGCACATAAAAATGTGGAATTTCATGTGTTGCTTTTCGGATGACAATATGATCATTTTTCTGCTTCAAGATCAAAACTAGACGGATCAGTGAATATTTGATGTATTAGTCCAGATATTGGTTGCTTTTAGTATTTTACCCAAATAAACAATTATGGAGTATGCCACTTGTGAAAGAAGCAACAAGGTAACATATGAATTGTGTAATTAAAGCTGTGAATCCCGCAACGTTAACAGTATGAATCTGGCAATATTTCTTTCTCCTTAATTGAAGGCTTAGGCCTGTGCATAAGTGTGGTAGGAGTCTTCCTGTCACTTTCTGTTGAAACTTTGATCTTTTTCCTTTTATTATCTGGCAGCATAGTTATCTGATTCATTTTTGCCAAACTTCAACAGCAAGTTATGTGCAGAAGCTGATTGGAGCTCTTATCACTCTTTGCTCTGTACTGGGAAGGGATCAGATTCCCTGAGTACAAAGGCGCTTTCGAAGTTCATACAGCATGCTAATGGTAATGACAGCCTCAACAGGGATATGCACACCCTTGCATTATTAAATGCTTCATCCAAATCCTTTTCCTTTTCACCACTTACCATTTCTGAGTTTATTCTTTGTTTATCTCCAGAAACAAATGATATTTTCCTGCTTGCTGCTAAGGTACGTATTCTATATAGGTTGCCTTTGTTATCTCTTTTCCATTAATAGAATGTCATTATAATAATGCTCTAATATGAGTTTAACTTCAACTTTAAATCATGCATTCACGCTCCGACACGATAGTGTTTAGTACCTATTGCAAGGGTTATAGCTATAGCCAAGATAATCTTGATCTCTTAATTATTTCCCAAGAGATTTATGGATAAGGAATCGAAGGCCTCTGCCAGTCTTGCTGGGAACATCCCACTTGAAAACAAAGCTCATTCTAACTTGAAGTGAATAATGTCATATATTTTAGCGGTTACCTCCCTTTCTTCTTTTTTTTTTTCCTTTTTTTCACTTCATTTTTTATCTCGCTGGATTTGCTGATGTACTGAACAGAACTGCCAATAAAATATGTCCAAGCCAGATTTCCCGGAAAATGAAGTATAAAAATCCAATGATGGCAAACAAGAATGAATTAGTTTGTTCTTTGGGTTTTCTGTTCAGGTAATTGCGTTCACGATTTTGAGATACAGGAAGGCGAAAGCTGCTCGTTTTGAAGAGAAACTACATAATAATTTTTCACATTTGGTGGAGGCTTGGGAGCCTGTGTCTATGGGGCACAAACAAAGGTAAGAATTTTTTTCTCTATAATTATGGTCATGTGTGTTATCATGCTTACCCCCATGCATTTCAGATAATAATTTTTAATTCTTGTAGAGCCTATGAAATGTGTTAAAGGAGCTCATATCTATTTCCTGCAAGCTCACAGCACCAGTTGCTTCTTTTTTAATAATAGTTGATGGATCATTGAGATAATAAACTTGAAATCATCCATTTCTTATTTTTGCTCGTTTTGTTGCTTGATAAAAATCTGCAAAGCATCAGATTTTTGAGGAAGAAGAGCAAATAGGTTCATGTATGTTTTCCTATCTTATTCTTTATCTTCAATGATTTGTTCCCACATTACTCTTCATAATAATGGAAACAAGGTCATTACTAAATTAACAAGGTGTATCTCTTACTGCAACAATTGTCTGGAGCCGGCTTTGAAAAGATCATGGTAGGGAGTTGTTTTTCTGTGCATGTTCCATGATAGATTTGTCTTCCAAACATTTCTTACACTATTACTTACTGAAATTTGCTTCTAAAGGTATAATCTTTTCAAAAAAATACAACTGCCGCGCATTTTTCTCAAAAGTTTCCAGATCTCAGAAACATGTATTTTACTACATAATAGCTCTTCAAACTTTGTGTGGTGCATATTAAATTGGTGACAGTTTCTTAATTTCATAATTTGAACTCAACTCAAATTTGCATGTAGATGGTGGGATTGCATTTCCTTGCCAGAGGATGTTGATTGCCATGATGAGGCTGCGTTTAGACTGCAACTAAAGGAGCTGGCATTCACGGTAATCTTAATGAATAGAGTATATGAAGATTATAGTTGAAATGCGTGAAATATTTGAAGACAAATTGCAACCATAGGGAAGTAAAACAGTTGATCGATTCATCGAGAGTTCTGTTCGGTATAAAAGGGATTTTGATATGTGGTCTTTGGTTGCTCGATCATCAACTGTTTTTGTCCCTTTTTTCAGCCTTAGTGTCCAGTATATTGTTCATTTCTGGTCTTTTGCTGATTCCTTATCTGTCCTACAATATGTTGCTTCTTCTTTTTTTTTTTTTTTTTTGGGTTGTTCAATTGTGTTATTGCTTGCCATAGGTATTACAGGGTTAAGCTTGATTGTTCATCCGGAAAAAACTAGAAACTTTTGGAGATCTATTAGTTGTTTCTGGTAAATTGCTTGTGATTTGGACCTCTTAATATAGATTGTAGCCTGTTTCTCTGAAGAAAATGCAACCTGATATGAAAAATAATCTATTAAAGGAATCTAGCTTAATTGAGTTGTTCAAGTCTTATAGGCATTAATTTTTTGTTTATAACAAAAAAGTAATTCATTTATAGTAATGTTTGTTATTGAGCAGAGCCTGGATTTTACTATTGTAAGAAGTAAAACTATTATTTTGCTCTAGACACTCTTGCAGCCTTGGTGCATCTTTTCAGTTCAACTGAATGCAATACACATTTCATAAGGACATAAGTGGGTTAATAAGTTTAAATCAGATCTCTTAGGTGAATTAGATAGTAGTAGTTGTGGATTTTAAAGATAATTGGCATCTTCTTGCAAGACTCCATCTTAATCTGGTGTATAAACTGCAAATCCTAATGGCTCCTTTTTGTAAGTATCCTGCTGCTCTCCTACTGTTTGCTTTGCATGAGACTACTGTAGCTTCACCCTAATTTTTTTCTCAGGTGTTGGACCTGCATGATAAAATCAGGCTGGATTTTTTTATTGAATCTAATCTGTCTCTTCTTCTTTACGCCTCCAGTCTTTGCAGCTCTTAAAGGCGGCGATATTCGATGAGGAATGTGAGCCATGTATCCTGATTATCTGCCAATCCCGGGCATACTTTTGTTTGGATATCTATTGTACTATGTTGATTCCAAGCTTAGCGTCCTTAACTTAGCCTAGTATTTTCCCTAGAAATATATGGTCACATTATTGGCATGTTCGAGTTAAATAATCTGTAAGTTCTGTTGGAGGAGAAAGAATTCATAAGTCATTCCCACTAGATCAAGAGATAGGGTTAAAATGAGTATTTCTCATTCATCTTTTTGTGTAGCAGTAATCAAAATTTCATATCATGCCTTCTAACTTATTTTTCCTCTGACAGGGACTTGGTTGTAGAATCTCCAGTTGAGAACTATTTTCTGTACATCGATGAGCTTCCACATGCAGAAAGGGTTAGCTCTTCTTCCTTACAAGTAGAGATCAAATTTAGACACAGAACTTTAACAGTAACTTTTCCATGCATGTCAGGAAGAAGCTCAGCAAGTGACACAGCCTTTCCTGGATGCCCTCGGTGATGACTATTCAAATTGCTGTGAAGGTATAATGAAATCCGTCATGGACTAGATTGTGTATGTTAAAACAGGTTTTCACAACTTAATGTGATTAGTACCCCACACATCTTACTCTTACTACATCCACGTCATTTAACATGTGCTGAAGTTCTGTATTGAGGAAAATGTGGTTTATATCAGAAAACTGATAAGAATTGTAATCTTCACTTATAATTAACAATAAAGGAGGCATTTTTCTTGATCATCATGCATTTATGATAATCACGAACACAATTAACAAAATCATTAGAGCTTTGTGGTTGTTCTTATTTGTTCTTTGCTTACTTTGGTTATAAGCTAAAACGCAGCGTCTCTGAGATGCAACTCTCCGGTTATATGTAGTCTCCTTTTTCTATTTCTTTTTTTCTTGTCCCGCCTGAGCTTGTGTATAGAAGATGGTTGAAAGGAGGTTATATGGTCAACTACTCTCTACTTGCTGAGTCTAATTTCATTACAAATTGAAAGCCAAATATGTTTTCTTTCAGGAACTGCATTCTTTCCGCTGCAGAGTTGTACGAATCATTCCTGTAATCCTAATGCAAAAGCTTTTAAAAGAGAGGAGGTATGTATTAACAGATTGTTATGTTGTGGTTGAATGTCTGATTGTCTGTGTGTATATACAAAAGCGAATTTTGGAAACATCATCAGTGGTGTGTGCTATTTGAATAAGAGTACCTCCTCTGAAACCTCATCTTCACAAGTGACGACATGATACTGATGAATAAATGTTTATAATTACTCGACAGAATACCTTATGGCTCCTATTCAAGAATCCACATAAAAGTATCAATTTACACTATATGAACTTTTATTCTGACATGGAACCTGTTCATTGTATCGGTTAATGATACTTTTCTTGCGACTTCGAACTCCATGTAAAATTTCAGGACAAAGATGGCGAAGCAACTCTTCTTGCTCTTAAACCAATTCTAAAGGGTCAAGAGGTTGGTTACCATTTCCTTTATTAACCTTTTTCCAATTATCAATGATGCAAATAACATTATGTATCGAGAGTTTGATTTCTATCTCAATGATCATATAACCATTTTACGCTTCCTTCCAGATAACCATATCATATATAGATGAGGAGCTTCCTTTCAAAGAGAGACAGTCATTACTTGCAGATTACGGGTTTAGATGCAGATGTCCAAAATGTTTGGATGAAGAACAATCATGTTGACAGAGATCATAGCATTCTCTTGGTTTTCCAATCATACAACAGGCAACAACTCTAGAACAGTGCAGCCCGTTGGAGTTCCCAAGGAAATCATTTAAACAATGCCTTGTTCTCTTTTATCGCCGTGCATAAGGTGACTTGATGTGTTTAGAGTTGCCAAATGGCTTTGTTGCTCTTTTATCGCCGTGCATAAGGTGACTTGATGTGTTTAGAGTTGCCAAATGGCTTTGTTGCGGATTGAAAGCTAATTTTATTGTGTTTCCTTTGTGATGGGTTGACGTTCTGACTACCAATAGTTTGCATTTTTCTTATTCCATTTTGCCTTTTATGGAAAATATTTTTGTTTTGTTTTTATTTTTGGGCATATATAAGAGGGTGTTTATTGTGTCGAAATAAAGGACTAATCTCTTTTTTTTTTTCTAATATACTTAAGAAGCAAAAGCTTGAATACAAAATATCCCTTAGGATAAGGATGATAGATTCCTATCTACTTCTAGTTGTTCGGCAATACTAGATGGGGATATGTCAAAACCTGTAACCCCGTTGGGCATGAGAAGCCAAACTTGGCTAGTGAATCTGCGGCCTTATTGGATGTTCTACGAATGAGGCTAAGATTCACCCTCCAGTTCTTTTCTAATAATGATAAATTATGCCTAAGAACATTGCTTAATGGTATGGACTTTTCGGTATACTGTAGAGCATTTATCGCTTCTATCGTCCATTTCCAGAATTACTTTTCTGAAGCCGAGATTCCAGGTGATCTGGAGGCCAAATAGTGCTCCCCAGTATTTGGCTTTCAAGCAATTACAGTTTCCCAAGTTGGCAATAAAACCCGTAATCCAAAGACCTTCATAGTTACGGATAGGTCCCCCTGCTGTTGCTTTTTCCTTCTTGATCTTTGCAGTTCCATCTGTGTTAATTTTAACCCATTCCCATGGAGGTGGACTCCATGATCGAGTTTCAGCTTGGGCAGGTCTTCTTTGTGGTGTAAAAATCAAATTTGACCTAGCAATTTCTCTGATCAGGGAGCTTGTTGATCTTCTAAGCTCTTCCATTGAGATAGGAGTCGTACAGAAGGTTTCTTCGTTTCTAGCTTTCCACAATTTCCAGCAGATGACTCCAATCAAGAGTTTCCATTGGTGATTCTCCTGCATAATAGAGGAATTTAAGTTAGTTTGAATCCAATCGGGCCAAAGTCTGTTTTGCCAAAAGTTACTGTCGAGCTATGGACAGAAACTTTTCCACTGTGCTTTGGCTCGAAAACAATCACGGAAAACATAAAAAAGAGTCTCCAGTTTTCCACAAAAAAGGCAGTTGCCATCTTCGGATATGTGGAGTAGTAGTCGCTCTGCATTTGTCATTAAAGCTTCCATGTATAGTAGTCATAAGAAAGTTCTTATTCTTTCCGGGCCAGGCCACTTCCACAAAGAATTCCATTTTGGGTGCTCTGTTTGCCATCTGCTGCCTGCAATGATCACTTGGGAGGATGATGTTTTGAACTTGCCGCTTTTTGTCCATTTCCAGACGGACTTATCCTTACCAGTGTTGGGTTAAAGGACTAATCTCTAAATTTTGTAAACCAGCTCTGGAACCATTGGGCCGGCTTGCACTTCATATTTGTCTCGAAACATTTTACCATCTTTGTGGCTTCGCGATTGTCCCTGTCTGACTCTTAGATCTAGAAAAAAATTTGCTCTGTTTAGTTCAACAGATATATTTTCTTTAAACGGAGAATTAGTTCCGTGCTTCTGGCACCTTTGGACCTCTAATCCACCTCACTTAAATATTTATCTCAAATGATACAGATGGAGACATTTTTATATCATCAACAATTTTAATTTCCTTTTTCATTTTCAAAGTTTGATTGCCATTAAAAATTATATTACCTCGTCCCAAAAAATAATAATATTAGATTTTGAGATTTATACTATTTTTAATACAAATTTTTAAATTTAATGTGATTTTTTTTAAAAGATAGATGGAACTCTTATCCCTCTGATTACTTCCTCGTGAAAAGATGAAACTCTTAGATCTAGTTTGTTTTTGTCATTTGTGAATTTTATTTTAGTTTTAGTTCTCGACGCATTTTTAATGTTTCCTATGTTCGAAATTTTTTCTAATTTTAAATTTCACTTTTAATACCAACTAGTATGTGAAAGTGCGGGATTGTCAATGTTGAAAATTGTATCTTTTAAAAGAATTAATTAGATAATATAATTACTAATATTTTTTAAAATCCTAATATTTTTTTAATTAATCAATTTTAGATCAAAATAAGAGGTATTGAAATTATTTATTTTTGAGATGTATATTTGTAAAATCTGATAAAAAATATTATAATAAAGATTTTTAAAAGTTGTATAATAAAAATTGTCACCACTAACTAATGTTATGATTGAATTAAAAAATATATTTAAAAAATATGTAAATTATGTCTAAATGCCTATGGCGTATTTATAGGTAATGGGACTTTGGGGATTAGATGTAGTTGTAATAAATATGAGACACAATTAATCGTCCTTGAAAATGTAAGATCGATAAATTTGAAGACTAAATAGCACACAAGTGAAACTTTAAGAGCCAAAATGAGAATAAATTGAAAGTTTAAACTCGTAAATGCAAAGACTTCTAAAGACAAGGGTTTCTCAACAATTTTTTAAAAAATTCATTTTCAAACCTCAATCAAGAATTTGTAATATTTGTAAAAATCTTATATAGTAAATAATAATTATTAACTTTTTACATAAAATTTAAATTGCTTAATGATCAACTAATGAGTAAATGACACGTGTTAATTGAGGCTTGATGGTCTCAATGAGTGACACGTATCGATTATCTTTCTTTCCTTTAATATATATATAATGATTTTATTAAAAATGAAAATAAAAAAACATACAATCTTTTTGGGATGTAGAAACCTTTTTCGTTCTTGTTCAACTCTCTTACATCAAGGCAAAAACCAAGTGTCGAACATGAACCAAGACAAAACCAGAGCAGAAAAAATAAAATAGCAATACTAATGATAAAAAAAAAAATGCATAGAGAAAGTGAAATGGTTGAGCGGAATGATTCAGTGACATGAATCTGCAGAATATTCAATACGTAATGCTTCTTCTTCAAAAAAAAAAAAAATGTAATGCATTAGAGTTTGAAACACAATTGTTTTTATGTCTTTATAGACGTGTATCATATATGGTCATTGTGTCATTCTACGCGCTCAACTACTCTAGTCTAGTCCAAAGTGATAAAGATATATTAGGAGTTCCTACTAGGTTGAGGTTGGGTGTGAGGAAACTTCTAAGTAGAGACTAGTCTCTCCGTTAATATATCTCTGTCTGAGAATTAATTTTGCAGCAGATAATTTGACAATTTTAGTATCAGGAGGCGTTTGTAGATTATTATCTCTAATTCACATATTTAATTAGAACATGATTATAATATAATCGGTGTTTCTTACTCACTCTTGATGTGTAACATAAATCATTGAATTTTTGACCTCTTTCATTGTTATTCCCTAATTTAATTTTTGTTAAGGAAACTAGAGATATCTAAAGAAAAATACGAAGTATAACGTTGTAATAATCAAAACCTAATCCAACACAAAAACACAATTACGTAGTTACAAGAGGTCCAATATATTTATTTAATATATTTCCTTTTTCGGTCTCATACCCTTTTTGATTTCTAGCCGGCCTTCTCCATCAAACCACCCCGATAACAGAGAAGAATATATCATAGCATTATTAATTAAAAATTCGGAAGATCGTACAGTTAAGTTTGTAACTGTAGTAGTAGTAGTTAAGTGAAGGACAACAGCAACAAACAGCTCATATAAGAACAAATATACCCGCCCTTTTGATTATACCTTGCCATTTTCGCCCTCTTCCTTTCGTTTTGTTTGACTCCTCTGTTTTTTTTTTTCCAATTCGACGGCAACATGAACGACCTTCTCGGTGTAAGTTTGATTTGTTTTCATGGGGGTTTTTTATTTTTCTGGTGTTGTTTGCTTAGTTACTGTACAGTGAGGAAGGATTGTTTCCCGGGTTTGATGTTTGGTTGTGAGATATTATATTGGTTGATGAATTTTATGTGTAAAGGAGGAGGCTGCTTTATTAATTTTGATGGGTTCAATCGGTTTTGATGTGATCGTAGTGTAATCCGAAGGATTTTATTGGGAAACCCGTGTGGAAGAAAAAGATTGTGAAAGTTGATTACTGTTATTGTTATTAATAAGATTGTTGAAGGCTTGATGATCAAAGACATGATTTTTATTGTCTTTTGTGTACTTTAGCTTAGGGATGCTTTCTGGTTATGGTGTTCTTTTGATCCCAACTCATACAAGTCGGACTTAGTACTTGATCAGACCTCGTTGGTTGCACATTAATGTGGTTAATTGAAATTTTTAGTACTTAGGAATCCGAAAAGAAAGGAAACACAAAACTTGTAGAAGGTGGAGGGCAAACAGATTTCATCTAAAGCTGATAAATTTTAAATCCAATTCTGAATGGATGAAGACGAAATTCCTTGGATGGAATCTGACAAAGGTTACTAATGCCTGGTTTCGCTTTGTTGTAGGATTCACATACTTCTAGAGGGGCGGATATAGAGATGGGTTTTACCCGGAGTAGTTCAGACTTGGCAATGGAAGCTTTCAATAAACAGGTGTGTTTTCTGCTTCCGTTTGCTGTAAAAGGCAATACAGAGTTCAATTATTCATATGCCTCACTGCTCTCTCTTGTTCTTGTTGTAGTATCAAGAGATTGAAAAACAGGTGGACAAACTCTCTGAACTGTTAAGGAAACTCAAGGTGTGTAAATCTCTCAGATCCTAAATTTTGTAGGAACACTTGTTAGAATGTGATATTGTGCTATTTTTATGTCTCCCACCCGGTTCTTTCCTTCTGGCGCTTATCTAGTTATTTTTATGTGGCTGGCGAATTAATGATTAGTTTGGTAAACGAGACATCCTTGTTGAAATAGTTTTGAGGAAAATCTTATTGTCTAATATTCACTGGGGAAATTCTCTTGAAAGATTTTAAGAGTAAAGGTTTTCAATTGTTCTCTTGAAAGGTTTTCAATTTGTATTAAGAAGTTTGTGTATTCGGATTTTAAGTTTTGGGGATTATTGCGAAACTTCAGATTTTCTAACTGACACTTTACCAACTGTTTGTAGGATGTAAATGAAGAGTCTAAGTCAGTGACAAAGGCTTCAGCCATGAAAGGTGAAATATCAACTTCTTTTGAATACCATGGGATCTCTTACAATCATGTACCAGACAATCCCATTGAAATTTTGAGTCATGCCTCAAGGCAGTCATGTTACTTCCATTGTAGGCTAGTCTATCTTCTGCATATGTAAGAAAACGTACCCAAAGAGAAAATTTCTGAGGAGAGCATAACTGTATTTAAGTTTATGGTTTGGCAGCATGCTATTATTTGTGATTGTTAGTTGTTTTACATGCACATATAAACTCATAGCCTAGTCGGATCAAAGAAAGCTTTTAGTTGTTGTTGATTGACTTCAGTTGGTTAAATGATTTTCCAGCTATCAGGAAACGAATGGAGAAAGATGTTGATGAAGTTGGGAAAATTGCACGTGGCGTGAAAGCGAAACTAGAAGCTCTAAACAAAGATGTATGTAACTCTGTGTTTCAAATACTTAGATTCATCAGTGTCTTGAAAAAATGACTAAAACTAAATGTCTCTCCCTCTAGAATTTAGCAAATCGACAAAAGCGTGGGTGTGAGAAAGGAAGTGGTGTTGACAGATCAAGAAATACTATGACATAGTGAGTTGGTTTTACTAGGCACAATTTTTTATATCAATTGGTCTTTAACTTATTCTTGATTAAGCATTATTTGTTTATCTATCTAATGCAGCGCTCTGACAAAGAAGTTTAAAGACTTGATGAAAGATTTTCAGGTAAGATTTGGACCTTATATTAATTGTAGGTTTTTTTTCTTTTTTTCCGTCCCTTTTTCTTTCATTTCTCAATGATTCTCTTCTCTTTTATAACAGACTCTAAGACAACGAATAGATGATGAATATCGTGAAGTTGTGGAGAGGAGGGTAATCACAGGTTTGGATAGTTTTAAATTGTAGAGTTGCTTTACTTTTGTTTGTTATCCTTTCTGTAACCTTGTCATTGTTTCATTTCATGATTGAGCAGTCACTGGAACCAGACCAGATGAAGAGGTAAGCTTAACTATTAAAGTTTCGAACTGATTGGATGTTATTGTCATCTCACATCTCAAATTCGTCTGCATCAGACAATCAACCACCTGATAGAAACTGGAACTGGTGAACAAATTTTCCAGAAGGCAATTCAAGAAATGGGACGCGGACAGGTACCCATATTTCTTGTTGTTTATACACCAGAAATTCAATATAGACCTAGGAAATTCTCGTTCATGTTAGATCCTACTTATGTCATGCTCAAATTTTACAATGATCTGAAATTCTTTCTGTCAAACGATTGGTGTATCTTGCTGCATCTGTTCCTTAATTTGTTCTGGGCTTTAGTGTCTCGAGCGAAATTGAAGGTTACGAGAAGGTTGGTCATGAATTACTGAGGAGTGAGGAGTTTTATGATGCTATTGTAGGGGCTCAGCAGTTATAACATCCTAGTTTGACAAATTCTCAAATATTAAGTATTGATTGAACCTAGGTGTTTGGATGATTTGGGAAGGAGGATTATCAATTTTCTTCATTTCTACTTCTTTTTATGTTCAGTTCAAGAATTTGTATGTGGTTTATGTTTTCTACTGCTTACATTTCGTGGCTATAGTATTATGACCTTGATATTACCTTGTTACAGGTGCTAAATACATTGGAAGAAATTCAAGAAAGACATGATGCTGTGAAAGAGATAGAAAGAAAACTTCTGGACTTGCAGCAGGTAATTATCTTTTAATCCTCATCTTGGAAGCTTAGCGCTACTTTGACGTGACCTTCCCTATCTTTTCAGATTTATATGGACATGGCTGTTCTAGTTGAAGCTCAAGGAGAACTATTGGATAACATAGAGAATCAGGTTTTTTTTTTTGTTGTTTTTTTTTGAATCCTGCTTCCTAGGCATTTTGTTCCTTTGCATATCATGTGTACGTGCATTAGTTTAGAAATTTTGATGTGAAATCTTGTTCAGGTAAATATAGCAGTCGTTCATGTCCACGATGGGACAAATACCCTTCAGAATGCAAAGAAACTTCAGAAGAACTCTCGAAAATGGATGTGCATTGCCATTATTATTCTATTATTTATAGTAGCAATTATAGTTGTTGGGGTGATCCAACCTTGGAAGAACAAGGGTGCATGAGTCTGTTTGCCCTCGAGTCCTGTCCTTGTAGATAGATCCCTAGTTTTAGTTGATGTGTTTTTGTGCAACCTGTTTCCTACATTATTGATATTTACTGGTGCGTTGACTGCCTAGTTTCAGCTAAAAAGTTGCGTCTTACGTGCGCTTGTTGATGAGATTTTTTGGAGCCTATATATATTCGTGATTGGTTTTGGGTTGGATGTTGAAGTGACTCGTTGAAAATTAGATTTTTTTTTTTTTTCCAAAAAGGGATCAATAGTAGTTTCTCACTTACCCGGCATGATTCGAATCCAAGACCTATTGGTCAACAGGTGAGGCGTCAGTTTCATTTTTGGGTGATTTTTGATTGTCAAATTTATCGTGGTTTTCTTTTGCAAGAAAAAGTAAATGCATTATTGAAAAACTAGTTATTAACATCACCAAAACCTCTATTTTAGTTCAAGTTGTGCTATTGTTCACTCCTAAATCATGTTTGGAGAGTTATACTTTGGTCTTATGCAAAGGTGAATCACAAACAAGTACTCCCTTTATGAATTTTTTTTTTGATAGAGAGAGTAATTAATAAAATTCATAAAAGATTTTAATATGTTTATTTCTTCGGCAAAACCAACAGTTATTGACTTATTGTGAGTAATGGCTACAAAATCAAAATTTTCTTCAACATGAAGCTAGCAGCGCGTCTCATCCTTTCTCAACCAAAAAAGGTACCCAATTTTAATTTTGTGTTTAGTTTTTAAACTAAAGTTTTGCTTTTGGGCTGAAATTTGCACTAAATTTATTTCCCACAAAGGTCAATCCTTATTTTTCAAAGTGAAGTTTTGAGATAACTGAATGTAGGCCCAAAATATTTGCTATAGTTTAGTCCCATTCTTTTAGCATGACTTTTTTTTTGTTTTTTGACAACCTTTAGCATGACTTTGATTTCATTTGCTGCATCCACAAAGTAATTCTAAGAACCCTTATTCTGTTTCCTTGAATAAAGATTAAAAAAAATAAAAAATTTACCCTATGAAATGCATCTGAAGTTCAATTATAGAACTTACTCCGTTTTAATGAATTATTATATTAAATTAAAACAGTAAAATAAATTTAGATCATTAAAATGGACCGAGAGAGTAACCTAGAAATAATTTCGGGGTTGAACTCAACTGCTAACAAGAATTTATGGATTGGGCCTCATATATTGGCCCTTTAAATTCATAAATGGCTTTCTAATCTCTGGTTGGAGTTTTGTGTCAGTGTTTTCCAAGAAATTTGATTTTCTTTTTAAAGGAAAAATGTTAAAAATTTCTTGACAAGTGGGTGTTAATTTTGGTTAAATCCCCCAACAGTTCTGGAACAATATGAGATGCTTCGTTTTACTTTAATCTTACAGCGTTTTGTGTACTATTCATGTTTCATAAAGATTAAGATACAAACTTTTTAGTTAAAAAAAAAAAACATAATCTCAGCAGGTTATGTCAAATTCAAGCTTCGATATAAAATCCTAGGATTAGGACAAGTCCTCCAAATGTATTTGTGGTTGGAGGAATTAACTTATGTCACAAGTTGGAATTTCATTCATTTTTCAGTTTGATGCACACATACTTTTCTTTTCCCGGTGTAGTGTCATGTTTATTACTATTATTTTAAGTACATGAACCAGAATGGTTGCAGTATGATCCTTTAATTCAATGGTAGACATGCTGTTTTCGTTTAGTTAAATGACATCCTACATGAAACTCTTTATTCTAAACAGAAATATTATGTTTATCTCAAAATGATTGTCTTTTTTATTGTACTAAAAATAATATATAAACTAGACGGCAATTATTTCGAAACGGATGGAGTACTATTTTCTATTGATTATGTGGATTTTTAATTCATAAACACATTTAAACAAAGTGCATATGAATCTGTATAGAAAGTGTACTACATCACTAAGATATAGGATACTAATCCTGTAAATAAGATTAGTCATCTTGCTTATTATGTAACCGTAAATAAATAATAATAACTGCGATTTTTTTTATTAGTTGTGGTTGGCTTATGAATTATATATTACTATCGCGATTGATAATTAATTATTATGTAACAATGATATTTTTTTTTGGGCGATATTATAATCTCACTACAAATTTGCTTATAAATTTCTAGTTTAAGTATTTATAAATACCTGTTGGATGTTCTTCCACTGATATGATACGATTGATATGTATTATAGTTGAGGATTTTACCTGGAGATACTGCTTCAGGCTATGAATGATTTGTGTCTTTTAGGTCATACAACAATGGTCATGTTTATTGAACTATTTTATGATTAGGAATATGATACTTAATTTTGAAACGAATAAAATATAGTTGATCCGGCAGTGTATACAACAACCATCGTATGTGGAACTGTGGCCTGTGCATATTGTGGTTCTTGACTCTTGTCATTCTTCAATAGTCGTTCTCTGATTTCAAATTCTAAGATTTGTTTTTTGCACCTTTCTAAGGTGATGACTTGGCACTCATATACTATCATATTTAAAGTTCATCTGTTTCTCAAATTTATTGTCATATTTCTAGCACGTAGTGATTGATGTAATATTAATTTGTCGAAGTTCAATACAATAACACACAGCGAGTGACATTCTTTTCAGGTCAGAAATGCAGTAGATCATGTACACTTGGGAAACGACGCACTTCAGACAGCAAAAAACTTGCAGAAGAAATCAAGAAAATGCATGATGATTGCCATTATTTTGCTTCTGGTTATTGCTGCGATCATCGTACTCTCCATTCTTAAACCTTGGAAGAAATGACTTACCACAAAGGTTTCTCTCTTCTGGCTGGTCAGTTGTGTGTGTTCATTTTTTCTTGTTCTATTGACATTACTTTTTCATACCACTAGCCACATCAGTTGATTTCTTCCATCTTCTCCAATAATCCAATGAACTGGCCATTGCCCAATTAATTTCTAATTTCTTCTGTATAGCGAATTGTGTGAATTTGAGGGGTATATTATCTTGATTTCTTCTATGAATAGTGAATTGAGCTGTCCATATCAGAATAAGGTTTTGTGGTATGTTGCACCTGAACTTCGATTGTGTTCGCAGTTTTTCTCACACATTATGCATTCATTGTTTACTACAAAAATCACACTGAGGAAGAAAAATTGTGAAAATTTGAATGAAAGTAAACAAGTTCTGAAGGTGAGCTTCTTTTGAGACAAGACAGAATTTCATTGAAAACTCAGAACAGGTACAATACAACGAGGGTAAAAAGTGGGGGAAGAGAGTGACCACCTAGCAAATAATATTACATGGACCAAAAAGTTGCCCTTAATGAAACAAATGAAATATGGAATTATTGAAACCCTAATGCTACACATTATTATACTCTTTTCTTTTTCTTCTTCTTGTAAATGGAAACATAGATGATGGTTCTCAAGCTTCCCTTATACCACACTTTTTGGAAGTTCTCTTCTTATTATTACATTCTTGATTTAGCAATCACAACACTTGCTCCTTCACCCATGTCTGTTGCTCCTGGCCTAGTCCATGTCTCTTTGAACTGCTCTTCAGTAACACCTGAGGACAAAAACAAAACCGAATTAGCCCTAAAAGATTATGGATTTGATGTCGAAAGGCTGTATAATTTGAATATGAAAAAGATGACTATGAATTTAACCTTTGCCCATGGCAGCAGTAGAAGTGATGCCTCCCTGGACAGTCCTGAGGACTCTGTCATAGTAATTTGCACCAGACCATTTCTGATGAGCTAAAGTGTCCACCCCATTGCTTCTTTCCTCCCTTTGGATTCTCTCAACATATGCCAGCATACCCCTTCTGGCGAAATCCTTAGCAAATGTGTCGACCACGAGGGCATCCGCGTGGAAGCCGGCCAGCGTGATGAACTGCCAACAGTATCCTAATTTAGCAATCCTTGGAATGAAATCTCTCATCTGCTCATCGGTCATTCCTGATGCATCCCAGTTGAATGATGGAGATAAGTTGTATGCCAACATGGTTTCAGGACACTTGGATTTCACTCCCTCGGCAAATTTCGTGCATTCAACCAAATCAGGGCTAGCAGTTTCCATCCAGATCAGATCACAGTATGGAGCGAAAGACCAGCCCCGAACAATTGCAGCGTTGACAGATCCCTTAAACCTGTAGAAGCCTTCTCTGGTTCTAGGCAAATCCCAATCCCAGAACAGATCTAGTCCCATCCTTTCGGCGATCATTCTTCCTTCCTCATTTGACAAACACTTTTCGAAGCTGGAATGATACATCCACTCATCCAGCCTCCTCTGCTTCTCAGCTTCACTGACATTCAATCTCCTGATTGCATCAACTACACAATCAGAGAATGTCTTCAACTGCGCCATTGCCAGCCAATTATCCTCAATGGCCTGGAGTTCAGGGCCAGTTTTCCCTGCTGCCATCGCTTCTGATAAAATCGTCGCCAAGCTCTTGCCCTTAAGCTGTGGATTAGTTACACCCAAGATAAACTGATGATCCCTGGTATCAACATTTGTTTGGATCAATGTCGCAGCCTCAGCATCCGTACGAGCAACTAAAACCGTCTCAGTACCCATGATATCAAACTGCAACCTTGCTGCAACAAGCCTGTTAATATGTTCACTCACTGCAACAAGCACTTTTCCAGCCATATGACCACATTTCTTAGTTACAGAGGATTGGTCCTCAATGTGGACACCGGCCGCCCCACGTTCCACGAAAAGCTTGCAAAGCTTGACGGTGGCGGTGGCACCACCAAAACCGGTATCACCATCAGCGATGATAGGCTTCAAATAGTCAACAAACGGCGTCCTAGCCCTCTCCTCGCGGCTCATACTCATCCTCGCCTCCCTTTGTTTCCTGTCATGATACTGCTGAGCAAAGAAAAGATGCTCAACTTTGTTCGGAACAGTATCATAAGGATAATCAGCAAGATCTGGTCCCGGTTCATTGGTGGAGGTATGAGTAGATGAGCATTGCCAACCAGACACATAAATCGAGTCCAAATACTTGCCCATCATGGTGACTTGAACAGGATCAAGGGCTCCAAAAGTTCTTGATGCTGTCCCATTGGCCTGATGAGTTTTCAGAGTTCTCCAGAGCTTCTTGGCCATTTCATTTGATGCGTAATTTTGTTTGATGTTTCCTCTCAGTGAGACAACATCTCTTGCTGAGTATGGCCTTTTGGTGAGCTTAAATCTCTCTGAGTTCCACCATGCCTGCACCTCTGCAACCTCTGCTTGAAACCTCCCTTCTTCTTCCATAATCTGCACAAAAGAGATTGAATTAACCAAAATTAAGAGAATCCCACATGATGGTTTAGCAATTTCATGTCAAACAAAGATGAAATCAACATGATTTTCTTCAAGTTCCAAAGAAAAGATCAAGCCAGAAAAGGCTTGAATATATTCTATGCTTTCTTAAGGAAAGTTAAAAATTTTGATTGCCTCTATGAATCTTTGCAAGTATTCACATGAATCATTAATCATTCAAGCTTCTTCAAATCGAAAGAAAGCACCAAAAATAATCCAAGTTTCTAAAATTGACAGTGACCTTATGAAGCCGAACATGTATTCATGCATGGGAACAATATGCAGCTAAGCAACTAAGAAATGTTGGATCAAAAAAAAAAAAAAAAAAACGCTCTGCAACTACAGCAATCGGCTCTGTGGATCATACATCTGTATCCTAACATAAACACAGATTGTGATAGGGCAAGATGCATATAAGCTTTTCTGAACTTTCTTCGGGATGAATATAATAAGCTAATTTGTTTATTCATCTCAAAAAAAAAAAAAAAATCCAATTCTAGGAAAAGGAATTCTGAAGTTCCTCAAGAACTTGCCAAAAACAGACAGAGATGCTAAGACTAATTCAACATTCATTTGGCAATGGGAATAAGAAGCGCCTCAAAGAGGATGCAAATTTCTAAAAAACAAATAAAGCTGAGGAAAAAAGCTCAATTGGGATGGAAAAAAAAATTTGGAAAAGGCAAGTTAATTTAGCTTACCATTGAAGGAACTGAGAAAGATGAAGCCATGGCTAGAACTCAATTTTGGATTCTTTTTGCTATTATGAGTTATGCAATTATGGTATTGCAAGTATGAAATGAAAATAGCTCCACCAAGCCTGTCAATTTATACTACGTAAGAGGGATTAATTGCACCAATTTCAAATATACATATATATTTTTATTTTTTAAAAAGGGGTTCCCAATAAAGATAAGGGAAAATGCAAAATCCAAGAAAATTCCACCTCATTGCAAGAATTATGGTTATCTATTTCAACTCTTCATTTGACAACAAAAATGAAAGATTTAAAAAATAATTTGGCTATTTTTTTCGGAAATTAAATAGTTTGGCTAAACATTGCAATATTATCCTCACCAAAGCGGTTCTGCTACTACCATCACAATTTACACGCTTGCTTTTATCATAAATGTTTCTATTTTTGTATTGTTCTTCCCTGTCCTGATCTCATCGAATTATGTCACGTAAGCTTTCTGTTTTTAGTTATTGCTTCTACATATAAAGTAAAATTTACTCTGTATTTGCATGTATCCTACTGCGGTAAAAACAGGAAGGAAAAAGAGACAAAAAGAAGATTTAATTATTTTAAAAAAAGAATTACATGACAATTTTTCTCCTGAATATTTACGCGATAGAGTGAGTATATATATATGCTCACTGACTAGATGCGGGTCACTAACACGACCATTTCTCAATCATCAATGCTTTAATTAGAGGTTTTGAAGAGATGTAAGCAATTTATAAGGCATTCCCTTTAAACAGAAGAACATCAAGAAGAAGTTCAAACAAATTTAAGAGTGATCCTTTCACCCTTTAATAATGCGGAATTTCTGCCATAAAAATAAAAAAAATACTCAGTTTCAAAAAATAAAAAATAAAAAAAAATTCACATTCAATTTTGATATTAGTAAAACTCAATCTGAACTAGTAATTTTTTTGAGACTGGAGAAGTAAATAAGTAAGACCATCGATAATCATATCATTCTCAATACTGACTCTAGTCCTTTGTGAAAATAAATTACTACCATTTCAGAAAATGAAAATAGAAATAAAAATAAAGAGAATAAATCAGTTTATGGCAGTGTTTGATGTACATCTGTTGAAATAATAGAAAGCCACCTCGTCGCTGTGCATGCAGCTTCAACGGCTGCATTTCTCTGACTATAATCTTGTCACCATAAACGAAGATAGGGCCAAAGCGTAAACCATAAACGTGAAATTCCCCATATTTCCTGGTGTAAACCTGATCATGATTTCATGTATCAGACGACTCATGATAGTCGCACAAATTACACAAACATTTTTATTTCAGCTGGATGAAGGGATTCTCTCTCTCTCTCTCTCTTTTTCTTTTTTCTATTTTAACGTTCCATTTTTCTTTTTACTGTTTTAGTTTAATAAAATACTTATTAAAATAAGAAGGATGAAAGTTTAAATGGGTAGTTTATCTAATGATCCCTAATATTTGAGAAACACAAAATAAAAAAAAATAAACAAAAGGGTCATATCTATTTTATTGTTTCCAAAACATATGTGATAATTAATTAAAGTTCTTAGTATTTGCTGCAATGTTAATGAGGTTGGAAAAATTCAAAACATGATGGTTAGTGTCTTATGACGGTTATTGACAAGAGAATGTGCTTATGATCTATTCTTTCGTACTCATACGCTGATAGTTGATTACCATGTACATATGTGTGGGAACCGGTTTTATTTGCTATAGTTGAGCATAATTAGATACTCCTTCCGTCCCATAATTATTGTCCAATTTGGTTTTTTATTTTTAGTTCAAATTGTGCTAAAAGTGAAACCTCAAACTGGACAATAATTTTGGGACAGATGAAGTATATTTTTTTAGTTTAAACTTTACTAAACTGAGAATGAAGCTGGACAATCATTTTAGAACAGAGGAAACACGATTCTTATTTTGAAACTAAAATCAGATGCAGTTTTTTCGAGAGCAATCTTTAATAAACAGTGTCCTTTAACTCAAATAAACATTTTTTTAAAATGTAGTTTCACATTTCCTATGCAATTCTTTACACTCTTTTGGATTCTGTTTCTAGCCTGAGAAAAAATAAATCTAATGAAATCAAGTTCATCATCTCTACGAACCAATTGATGAAGAACTATTCATCAAAAAAATTAAATATGTGCTACGACTGGCCGAATTTACACTACGTACTCGGAAAAGTCTAAAACAAGGTAATGTTTCAATAATTTTATACTAGTTTGGATGAGTTCAGTTATGGGCACATATTCATTTCGTTCCATCCTCTTCAATCATGAAAATGGTATGCATGGCAGCTGCAAATTGCAAAATGGCCATAATTTACGTGAATGGCTCCACCAAACATGTTAATAATTTTACCTACAAATTCTTTCATACTGTACTTCATGATCTTCTTTCTATTTTTGTACACTAAGTGGTGATAAAAATAGCGAAATTCTCAACTAAGTATAATTACGAGTCTGCACGGTGAAAAGAAAATTCACTAATCATATTCTCCATACAAAGTGTCAAGTCTCATTTCTTAGATGCATTATCTATGTTTAGAAGAGTATAATATTAAATCAGGGATCCAAAGTTTAAACTATTTGCACCAAATGAAAGAGTTCAATTGTGAAATTCTCACATTATAACTTAATTTGACGAATAAGAGTATTATAAGTATTACTTATGTTCTAAAATAATTGTTTCTAGATTCTATAGAAATGTAACAAGAGATGACTGAAAATATGATGGTCACGTCTTCTGGACAAGCTAAAGCTATAAGGAAGGGTATGGAGGGATTTGGACAAGACGTCAGGGAAGCGTAAGAGGATAGATAGAGATGGCTTCATCACAGCAAACTAGGCGATCAGATTAGATATCTCTTCGTTAGCCAAAGTCTGATTTGGATTTTTGTTGGTCTTTTTCTTTTTTGTTGGAATTTTCCTTTTTAGTGATGACGATGGGGAGGAGGAATTGAATATAAAAATACATCGAATATTGCCAATCCATCCATCTGGAATTGACAAATTAAATTTTGGGACAGTCAAGACAGAAAACCTTTCTTGGGATCTTCAACGACATGCACGTTTTATGAAATTTTGGGCTCGTCCATCAAGGTAGCAACAACGGGTCGTAACTCGTGGAGCTTGTATTCCCCATTCCTTTTAGCAACTCGAAAAATAATAAATATGGAACTCTAGATGCTTGGTGGCAAAGGTTAACATTTTTTCTCAAGAGATTTAATAATGACTACTCTCAAGAATCAAGCATATCCAATTTTTTTTTCCCAAAAAAAATAAAAATAAATTCATTTTGAATCACTATTGACGACTAGCTGCATTAAAAGAAGAAAAATTAAGCCAAAATTTCAGATACATTATCGGAGAATCTTGGATTTCAACTTGTCGAAATCCAGTCATCTCGCGGATTCAGTCGAGACTTTCAACATATGGATTTATTTCGGATTTAGACCGAAAGAAATGACAAGATTTGGCGTAACTAAGTGCACAGTCCGGCCATCTCGTAGCGACTGATTCAAAGTGACTTACAGCAACATAACAAACTGATCAAAAGCCAAACAGCCACTCAAAATTATAATGTCACTCCAACAGAAAAAGGTCCAGTTTTAGATGTCTCAATTCACTTTGATGGCTCCTTCCACCCGAATACAATGGCAGCAGTAAGAGCATGAAAAATTACTTCACCTCAGGGCGCTATAATGCAAATCAAGGCGACCTCTCTCCAGGTGTTATCACCATTCCAGGCAGAGGCCATGACCTGTCTCATTGCTCTCCGTGAGGCTTCATAACTTGGACTTAATCGTGTGAAGGTTTACACTGATTGTGAATTATTATTTACTGATCTAAGGGCTATCCTTGTACCGATGGAAGCACAAGAAGTTATTGCTTTATTATTAATTTTAATTTCTTTTTTTGAGTCCTGCCAATTAACCAAAATTAGTAGAACTGATGTTAGTGACCTACATAGTATGACTTATAATGTATGTCGATGTAATAGTATAGGTACTTCTGATTAATATCAGGTACCAATTTAAAAAAAAATATTGTCAAAATCCATCCGATACGATTACTTGTCCAAGATGGCAATGACCAACAACGATATCCGCCACTTATGAGAATGCAACCCACCCCTATGAGACAGTTTATTTGTAAAACATTTCGCTCAATTTCATTGCAAATGATAAGCTAAAAATACTCACACTCGTCGAATACATAGAGCTCAATTATTGTGCCTTGATTAATATTTATTGAGCTATTACTTAATTTTTATTTTAGGCTTGTTTGTCATTGTTTAGGTTTTGAAAGAGTTAATGGAGTGCCTGGTTGACCTCGGAGGGGATTGGAATGGATTGTAATGGAACGCAATGAATGCAAGGAGTCATACCCATGAATCTAATTAATTGAGTATGAAAAATAACGAAAAAATTTGATTGAATCCAATATGTGAGCTAGGGTCCAACTTGTTTAACCAACCACCATGTGAATTGTAAAAGGAATGAAAACAAAAGAAAGAATCCACACAACTCCGTTCCCCCAACCAGGCACTAGTTGTTTTTGCTCTTTTCTTAGCTTGAAATTTAGGAACACCATCAACAGTTTGGCTTGGGCTTTTTCGTGATCCTTACAGATTTAAAATTGCTGAGTTTGAGGGGATAATATTTTTTCTAAATTATATTTGAAGCAACTAAGTAATTAATTTATTTTGTTAAGCATCTACTACCATGCATGTTTCTTTTCTTTGTCAGGAAAAGCTAAATTCATATGGTATTTTAAATTTGGTTTAGAGATTTGAGAAATGTACAAGATTATAAATCTTAGATTGTACTAAAAATATAACATGAATTCTAACTGAATGATTACCACAATGAGATGTAGATGCGAAAATTTTTCGTGCGGTTTGTAGATTACCTAATATCGTTGAATGCTCCAGTGAAACCATTTTACGGGGATCCTTGGATGTGTAAAAGGAATTCTAATCTCACCCCCTCCCCCAAAG